TTGCCATATCCTGGAGTCACGCAATCCCCTTTTGAGACCTTCTGAGAAGCAAAATCAATGGAGAAGCCCTGATTCACTTAACAACTGGGTGACTAAATTAGCGACAGCAGGGATTCGCTTAGCAACCATGGCAAGAAAATTCGTAAAATGAGGGAAAAACTCAACACGTGTCTCGCTGAGCAACATACATTTTGGGCTCAATTGTTCGTAAGTCCGAGGACTTACCTGTTAGTTTTGAGTTTTCGCGACTCTTGGATTTTCAAGTCTGGTCTACTTCGCAGGGTTGAAATCCAACGGTTCAATATTAGGGCTCAGTGTAGAAGGCACTCTGCACATGGTCAGAGGGACATAAATCAGATTGGGACGTTCCAAGCTTCCGTCCCAGCTGAGAAAAATCATAGGGAAAATATTGAGCAATAAGAAAATAACAGAGTTGGAAGGGACCTTGTAGGTCATTTAGTCCAACCTCCTGCTCAAGCAGGAGACCCTAGACCATTTCAGATAGGTGGCTGTCCAGTCTCTTCAAAACCTCTGGTGGCAAGCTGTTCCACTGGTTGATTGTCCTCACTGTTTGGAAGTTTCTCCTTAATTCCAGGTTGCTTCTCTCCTTGATGAGTTTCCATCCATTGTTTCTGGTGCTTTGGAGATTAAGTTGACCCTCCCCTCCTCTTTGTGGCAGCCCCCCAAATATTGGACCACTGCTATCATGTCCCCCCCAGTTCTTCTTTTCTTTAAACTAATACCCAATTCCTACCACCATTCTTTGTATGTTTTATCCTTCAGTTCCCTAACCATCCTGGTTGCTCTTCTCCGCACTCTTTCTAGAGTCTCAACCTCTTTTTTTTTTTTTAATATCACGGTGATCAAAAACTGGTTGCATCTTATCAAGGCATTATAAAGGAGTTCAATTCGACTGTGGAAATTGTGTCATCAATTATTATTATTATTTTTAATTGTTCAGTCTTGCTCTTGTCCTGCCCTAGATCCGGCCTCGGGGCGGGTGGGGGGGACGACTTCACGGTGTATAATTTCAGCTTCTCCCGAAGTGGCAACCTGTGGAAATGCTTTTCTTTGTGGGTGTTGCCCCTGCCCCCCAACTATGCAGCCAAGAGGAAGGGGCATGGATGGGGAGACCCTTTGGGGCTGAGGAGCACCCCCCCCCCCCGCTGGATTTTCCATGGCAAGTCTGGGGCCCTTTCTCTAAGGGGGCTTGGGTTGGACTAGATGACCTACAAGGTCCCTTCCAACTCTGTTAATCTGTTATTATCCTTAGGAAAAGATGATCCCGGACACCAGTACTTCATCTGTCAGAAAGGGAGTTGGCCAAGAGAGGGTTGGATCCAGAAACCGGGAACTTCACAACCCCTGGGCCAATCTGGAGATCACATAGCAACGTTGTGAGGAGGAATTCCTTCACCAAGGAGGCAAAATCACTAGACGGGGAAGGGAAAAAAAAGTTCCTGAAATGTAAAGAGAGGAAAAACAAGGAAGGCAATAATAACCCTACAGGTAGAATCCAAAGTAAATAAACAAAGAAATACCATTAGCCGCCTAGCTGAATTTGTTTCGTCTTCTAAATTATGTCACTTTCAAAATATGTTTAGGGTGTTTTGCAAAGAGGCTGGTTGGTGGCAGGTCATCAGGGCTCTCTGCCTTGAAGCTGTTAGGTAGGTTCTCCTTGCCTGCTTCTTTCTTTCTTTCTTTCTTTCTTTCTTTCTTTCTTTCTTTCTTTCTTTCTTTCTTTCTTTCTTTCTTTCTTTCTTTCTTTCTTCCTTCCTTCCTTCCTTCCTTCCTTCCTTCCTTCCTT